GCCAGGGAGGAGGGGCGGCGCACGTCCCAGACACGCTTCTCGGGAGGGGGGGAGGGGGGGGGCGGGCGCGCAGGCGCCGCGAGGGCTGATTTACAGGTTGCCACGCTTGTCCTGCTCGATCTCCAGAGCCTCGAAGAGGGCCTTGAAGTTGCCGGCACCGAAACCGGAGTGGTTGCGACGCTGGATGATCTCATAGAAGAGGGTGGGGCGGTCCTCGACCGGCATGGTGAAGATCTGCAGGAGGTACCCATCCTCATCGTAGTCGACCAGGATGGAGAGCTCGGCCAGGATGTCCAGGTCCTCGGCGATCTTGACGGCCGAGGTCTGGAGGCGGATCTTCAGCTGGTCGTAGTAGGAGGCCGGGGCGGACAGGAACTCAACACCGCGGGCGCGCAGGGCACGCACGGAGGAGATGATGTCCTCGGTGCGCAGGGCAATGTGCTGGACACCAGCGCCGCCGTAGAACTCGACGTACTCCTGGATCTGGGACTTCTTCTTGCCGGCGGCCGGCTCGTTGATGGGCATCTTGATCTTCTCGTCCTTGTCGGTCATGACGATCGAGCGCAGGGCCGAGTACTCGGTCATGATCTGCTTGTCATCGACGGACCAGAAGCGAGTGAAGTCAAGGTGCTTCTCGTACCAGTCGCAAGCGGGGACCATCTCGTTGTCGGCCTGGTTGCCGACGCAGTGATCGAGCAGGTCCAGGCTGCAGCTGGGCAGAGAGTCGATCAGGGCATCGGTCTTGGTGAAGGCCTTGTACCCGGGCAGGAAGACGCCCTTATACCCGTCGCGCTGGACGAAGGTGTGAATGGTGTCGCCATACTGCGCGCGCGCGCGGGGGGGGGGGAGGGGAGGGGGAGGAAGAGACGAGTAAGTCGAGGGTCCGGAGGTGAGGGCCGGAGAAGAAGCGAGGTGGGGACCAGGGAGAGAGAGAGAGAGAGAGAGGGAGGGAGAAGGAGGACGCACGGTCTGAACAGCGGCGATGATGACCTCGCCATCCTCATCCTTGAGGGTCTTGGGGGCATGGACGGACTTGGCGCCACGGCTGACGGCCTTCTCGTAGATGCCGGCGGCGTCGCTGACGGCGAAGGCAACTGCGCATCACACGGGGACCGGCATGAGGAGGAGAAGGAGGACAAAGCCGGGAAGGGGGGGGGGAGGGGGACGCCGGTGAGTGGGAAGGCAATGGGCATCCAGAGGGGCGGGGGAGAAACGACAGGGGGGGGGGGGGGGGGAGGGCATACGCACCATCCTTGACACCATCACCGTGGAGGGCCTGGTGGGCGCTCATCTCCTCGTTGTTGGGCTGGATGGGGGTCTTCAGGACCATGGTGATGTTGTTCTGGCGGATGACATGGGCGGCGACATTGCGCTCGCCGGTCTCGAGGCCGGCGTAGGCAACGCGCTTGAAGCCAAAGCGGATGCAGTACCAGTCGGCGGCCTGCTTGGCGTTGCCGACCCAAAGGGTGACATGGTCGAAGCCGTGATACTTGTGCTCGGTCATGGTGGAGAATGTGTGGGGAGGGGGGAGGGGATGCGGCGGATACTGGGAGGGGAATACGCGGGGCAACTCTTCTGGCTGGGGGAACCGGAAGCGGTCCGGAGCCGTGGATGGTGGTGGCTGATGAAGGGCCGCCC